ACTGGTGAGTTACAGGCCAGTTACAGACCACTTACAGACCAGTTACAGGCCAGTTACAGACCAGTAACTGGATGAGTTTTAGGTCAGTAACTCGTGAGTTTCAGGTCAGTTACAGACCAGTTACAGGCCAGTTAAAGACCAGTAACTGGTGAGTTTCAGGTCAGTAACTGGTGAGTTTCAGACCAGTTACAGGTCAGTTACAGGCCAGTAACTGGCGAGTTTCAGGCCAGGAAAAGGCCAGTTACAGGCCAGTTACAGGCCAACTGCAAACCAGTAACTGGTGAGTTTCCGGCCAGTTACAGACCAGTAACAGGTGAAATTATGCAAGTTACAGGCCAGTTACAGACCAGTTACAGGCCAGTTACAAACCAGTAACTGCTGAGTTTCAGGCCAGTTACAGGCCAGTTAGAGACCAGTAACTGGTGAGTTTCAGGTCACTAGCTGGTGAGTTTCAGGCCAGTTACAGACCAGTAATTGGTGAGTTTTCATCCCAGTTACAGACCAGAAACTGGTGAGTTTCAGGCCAGTTACAGGCCAACTACAGACCAGTAACTGGTTAGTTTCCGGCCAGTTACAGACCAGTAACAGGTGACTTTCGTGCCAGTTACAGGCCAGATACAGACCAGTAACTGGTGAGTTATAGGCCAGTTACAGGCCAGTTACAGACCAGTAATTACAGGCCATTTTTCCACTGATGAAGACCTTTCACCAGTAACTCGGTGGCCCTTGTCGGTCATCATTGTTTCCTTGTCCATCTGTGCTCCTACAGGTCTGAGGGAGCTCACTCTGAGCGCTAATCCCCGTATCGGCTCCAAAGGCTGGGCCCGTTTCGCCATTGCTGTGGCCCACAGCTCCCAGCTGCGTGTGCTGAACCTGGACTACAACCCACTGGGTAAACCGATACCAGAACCAACGGAACAACCTGTTCAGCTCTTGGGGTCTGATGATGTGCTTTTGTCTCCAGGAGATCAAATTGCCGCCATGCTGGCGGTCGCTGTGGCATCAAGCAGAACCCTGGAAGTCCTGGACCTGGAAGGAACTGGACTGACCAACCAGTCAGCACAGGTCCCATGGTTACAGCGCCTCTTTGTGCTTTTCATCACCGCCATGCTCTGTATTTGTGTTGATAGCCAGGTTTCTGTGTGTCTAGGTGTTTCTGGACATGGTGGAGAACTACCCGACCAGCCTCAGGGTTCTGGTTCTGGCAGAGAATGACATCAGTCCTGAGCTGCAGCAGCAGATCAGCGACCTCCTGTCGGAAGGGGAGGAGGAAGACAACAGGGAGGCCCCGCCTTCACTCCGAGGCCACGCCTCCAGCACAGAGAAGCACCAGCCCCTCCCCTGGCTCCCCCACAGCAGTAAGGGCTGAACCCTCCCCTCCCCAGTCACCCGTAACAGCAAGACCCCTTCAGACTGAAACCAGATCCAGTCCAACAGACTTCTACCTTTTTAGAGTCTTGGTTCTGTTGGGCTTAGAACCGATCAGACATGATCTGGTTCTGTTTGCTGTGTGGTGTTTACTTGTCCTCTGTATCAGTAGGAGCTTTGTGTTTTCTGTAATGAGTGTGAAAATGGTGTTAATCTGCTCCCAGTTCTGGCAGAATAAGGCTGTTGATAGTAATTTATATTCAGTTTTTATTTATTTCTATCCTTTCATCCTTTGTGTGGTTCTAAAGTTCTGACTTGAATCTGGTTCCTGCTGGTCTTCAGTAGATGATCAGAAACCAGAGATGTTAGGGACTCTTTGAATCACTAACAACTTAAAACTGGTATTTATATCGTTATTTAGATTATGAGTTTAGATCAACAGAAGAAGCTCCTTTATTTAGCTTAGCGAGGCTAATTTTCATTAGCATGGTGATTTCTTCTATTCTTGGCTAAATGTTAATGTAGGCGAATATGCTAATATGTTTAGAGGATAAAATGAGCTATCAGCTCATTAGAACAATTTAATACTGACGTAATTTAAACATATTTACATATCAATAACAGGAGGAAACGTTAGTTGAGGCTAACTGAACGGCTAGTCTAATGTTCTTGATTCCAGCGACATTTTTAAACATGTTTCTTTTCTTACGTTTATTGTAAAGGAGGTTTACTTTGGTTTCTCTGCTGAAGGATTTTCTCCCAGAATGTTCTTGAATGTTTTACACCTCAGTTTCAGTCCAATCAGCGATACGTCCAATCTGCTCGAGGCCCCGCCCCTTCTTCCTACGTCACCGTATGGCAACTCCATTCGGACAAACTGTATTGCACCCGTTTCTTAAGGATCAAATCTCCTTTGGAGTCTCAACATATTTCCTATATTTGCTATTATTTTAAATTTAATCGGCGATCTAAAGTAGCTGAAAGTAGAAAACAATCATTGTCAGTCTGGAAGGAAAGTCCTGTCTTCTAAGACAGACTTTGCTCTGCCATTTAACAAGGAGACACTATGGCGTACTTTGGTGACACAGTGGTTAGAGCTAACAATCCATGTATGGAGGCCTTAGTCCTCGACGCGGGCGAGCCGGGTTCGAATCCAGTCTCTCTCCCTTTCCTGTCAGCCTACTGTCTGTAAATACGAGCCACTAGTGCCGTAAAAACTGAAAAAAAACAAAATAAGACATTTAAAACTCTCAGCTAATTTTTATTCTTTTTATTAACATCTGAGGTCAGAGGCGAACAAATTAAACATCTTAAAAAAAGACTTTCAAAGAGATTTTAGACGAAGAAAACAGTTATTCTACAGTTATTCTACGAACAGTTGTTGATATGAAGTTAAAAGTAGTTTAGCTTAATAAGGCTAACTGACTGAGCTAAACGGGGCTAACCTGTTAGCTACCTAGTACAGCTAGCTACAGCGCTACCCAGATTTATTTCAGTTTTGTTATCAATCAGGTCAAACTTCATCGGTCATTGGACACGCTAACGCTACAGATGCTTCCGACTCGGCACACGGACGCTGCGTGATGTTATTATCGTTGTCTAGGCAACCACAATGTTTTACATCATGTGGCAACGTTCAGCCAATCATGTAGCAGGAAGCAGGACCAGAGCAGATCTGGTAGCTGCAGCGGTACCAGTAGTAGCAGTTACCTCCAGCTCTCCCTCTGGTTTATTGGTTTACTGGTTTGTGGACTGGGCCGTTAGTTGTTAGTCCCAGCTGAAGGGAACTGGTCTGAAGTGGATGAGAGAACCAGCAGGTTTGGACGTGGCTCTAAAGTCTAACTGTTCTTTGATCCCTACAGACTCCGGACCGCCGATGGTCCTGCTGACGTCCGGTCTAGGTGAGAGCTTATTGGCTGAAACAGAGATGTGACCCCTCCCACAAACACACTCACTTCCTGTGTGAGAATGATGTCACTTCCTGGATTGAATGTTTGTTTCTTTGCACTTACCTTCACAATCTGTGTTAGGTCTGAGGCAGTACCTGGGAGGGGGAGGGGCTTGCAGACAGGTGTGCTGTTTCTGAGAAATGTCTGTTCAGGTGTGTTGATTCATTCTGCTGCGATGATGTCACAATAAAAACCGTTTACAGCTTCCTACGGATGGCTCTGATTGGTCTTTAATGGAGGCGTAACCGAAAACGTTTCTCCAGCTAAGGAGACAAAGGCCAGTAACCTTCATACACCATCTGCCAGAGAGGGGCTTTAAAGCCAGAAAACGTCTCCCTCTGCACCACATGGGGGCGCCATTATGTGTCTTTTCCTTCCATGGATCAATGGAGCCCCAGGATGGGTAGAAGCATCAAGCAGCATCCACCCTGAAAGCTGGACTTTAGTTCAGGCCTTGATGGGTCTGACCCAAACCAGATCTGGGTCAAGCTGGTTTCTGAGAGCGTCCTGCTCCCCGATCCCCCAACTGATCCAGGATCTGTCATTCAGTGTGGAGGCTCAGCATGGAGCTTATGTAGCAAACAGCTCATACCTGACCTTTGACCTGACGGAGCTGTCTAGATGCCTCCCTGGACTCTGTTGGGCTTCAGATTTCCCTAAAACAGGTTTGTCCATATGGTGGTCTGAGGGCGGTTTGCGACCCTCAGGATGACGTCATATGGCCCTAAACCGCAATTAAACTGGTTTAAACTTGATTTGACTAACTTAGTCTGAAAGAGAACATTAGCCTGATTTATAGAGACTTTTAAAAATCTAAAAAAAATGCTGAGAGAATGCAGACCTCCACTGGGCAGCAAATGTTGCCCTATATTGTGACCTGATCTGGATCGTAACCTGTGGCGACTGGTCCATAGGGGGCACTCTGGCGCTGCCCTCCCTAGATGTGGAAAGTCATAATATATATATATATATAGATTTTAAAAGTAATATGAATTATTTAAAAAAGACTTCTACCAACTGACTCTCCTACATCAGAGCTTTTCCACTGACAGAACGCATCAGTTCTCTTTTTGGGCACGAAGTAACCAGTTGTGATGTAGCTAGTAGTCAGTCAGGAAGTGAGGTCATAGCGATGAGTCGTTTATCAAAGGTAGAAAGGCAAAGAAGAATAAACAATCTGGGATTCACATGGAAAATAATAGAATATAGTTGACTTTTCTAGATGTTTGTTCATTTCCATAGTTGCTCTTAAATAAACACATTCTCAGAAAATAAATAGATTTTATATATTACAAAAATCTAAAGCTGACTGATAGCTTCTCCAGTATTAAACTGGTCCATTATTTTTTTTTAGGTTTATTGGACCATGAAAAACAGATTAACTTTCTAAAAGCCTCAGAAGGATAAAATTTATGCACAGAAACTAAACCTGTTTATTTTTTATAAAGTGTTGTTCTAATGTTTTTTGTTTTTTGCATTCATATAAATATATTAGTGGGATAAATTAGTATATATTGATTGTATTGGTAAACAATCTATTTTGGATTTATAGCCCCCCCCCCAGAGAAAACTCCACCAGCCGCCGCTGATCATCACCAACGTTTTATGGAGGCGCACCTCTGGTTCTCCTGTAGACTGACTGTAACTCTGATGAAAATTAAAATATATCAGCAGTAAATTTAAGGCATGTTAGTATTTCTTTTCTTTCAGCCATGTTTGTGTTTTTAATTTAATTTAACAGCAAAAGGACCAGAAACATCCAGAGGGTTTCCCTGGAAACCAGATTTCCTCATTGGATTAACGGGTCTGGATAAGCAGAGAACCAGTTCCTGTTCTGGTTCTGATCAGCTTTGGCCTCTGTTCTTCGATGGTCCCACAGTTCTGCAGAACCAAAGTTCTTCTTCTTCCAATGAAATAGTGGCGTCCCATCCTGCGGTCGGGTCCAGAGCTCCCTGATCCAGACCAGAACATCTAAAGACAAAAGAGTTCTGTAGAACCGACCCGCAATCAAAAAAAACTTTAACACCATCAAAGCAGTTCTGGTAAGTTCTGGTAAGTTCTGGTCACCCGAGTCCACTTCTGTCTCAGCAGGAGACGCTCAATCCAACAGAACCAAACTAAATCTGTACAAGAAAAAATAAATATTTTTACAGTATTTACAGAAACTACCTGCAATGGTGAGCAGCTCAACCAGCGATGGGAACCATGGCGATGGGGACCATTGGCGATGGGAACCATAGCGATGGGAACCATGGCGATGGGAACCATGGCGATCAGAACTGATCAGAACCGTTTACGGTTTGGTCCCAAAGTTAAACCGACTCAGTCCGACCATTTCTACACATTAAAGCAGCTGAAAGGAACCAGAACCAGACTTAATTGGGTCAGTGAACCCATAACCCAATCAGAACCCGGTCCTGGGAATCTGGATCTGATGCTTCAGTGCTGGTTGTCGTGGTAACAGCTTGGCTTGGCTGGTTGGGCTCCTGCAGAGTTTGCATCCCTGAGTTTGGACTGAAGGTAGTTAAAGTGATGACTGAACAAAGTTCTGATCGGGTCAGGTCCAGTTTTGGTGCTGTGAAGAGCAGTATGACATCATCATGATGATGTCACTATTGAGTTCATTCTCTTGTTGCCCTTCAGCCTAAATCACCTCTATGTTGAGTTTCTTCTTCTGTGGTTCTGTTGAGTTCAAGAAGCTGATCCGATGCTCCGGCACTTCACCAGCCTCTTGCGGACTGCTTGTTCCCGCCTCCTGGGAGGAGGATGGTGACGAGCGGCTGGGGGCATCGCCAGAACGCCGGCAGCGGCTCCGCAGGACGAAAGCGGCGGTTAGAGTCACCACACCGAGAGTCACGCCAGCTAACACCAAAACAACGACCAGCTGGAGGTCTGACAGTCCAGTGGCACCATGCTCTTTCACGGTTACCTTCACCTTCCTGTCATCATGGCGACCACCGTCGCTCCTCTGAGTGGTCCAGACCGGTTGGCTGGCATTAGGCGGGCTGGGCGGGTTCTCGCAGGTGAAGCCGGTGAATCCCGGCCGGCAGAGGCAGAGGAAGCCTCCTGCGCGGTCCAGGCAGCGGCCGCCGTTCAGGCATGGCTGACCGATGCAGTCGTCCATGTTGACCGTGCAGAAACGCCCCGTGATTCCGGACGGGCAGAGGCAGGAGAACCGGTTCACTCCGTCCACGCAGGTGGCGCCGCTGGCACACGGTCCCATCAGACAGTCGTCTACGTCGGTCTCACAGTGCCGGCCCGTAAACCCTGCAAGGCAGCGGCACGCCAGCTCTGCCGCGAAACCATCAGCGTCTTCACACAGGCCGCCATTTTTACAGGGAGACCTGGAACCAGATAGGAGAGTCAGGCTGAATCCCGGACCACCCCCCTAACCACCAACCCTTTACTATCAAGTGTCACTTTCTGGAAGGCGCCTTGATTGAAGGTGGGGGGGTATGAACGAGAATGGGGCGGCCTCTTCTCCAACAGAAAAGGAAAACAGTCGTTGCTATGGCAACACAGTGACGCCCCATGTGTGCGGCTGTAACTCTAACATCTTCCCCTTTCTTAAATCAGATCTATACTATAATCTATACTTTCTATACTGATCTATGTTGATCTTTCAGACCAACCAGCAGATTCAGGTTCTTGGTGCGGAGGAGTGGATCAGGTATCAGATGATGGATCCTCACCTTCTCTGGTGACAGGGTCCGATCCTCTTCTGACAGGTGGAACCATGGAAACCCTCTGGGCAAACACAACGGAAGTCTCCGCTGTCCTGCATCAGACAGGTGGCGCCGTTGTGGCAGGGCTGCTGGGAGCAAACGCCGAGGTCTGGCAGGAAACATGAGAACAAGGAGCAACTTCATGAAACATGAAGCTCAGAGGAGTTTCAGGTGTTTTTGTGTCAGTTTCCAGCAGAACCTTTGTCACAGAATCGACCGCCCCAGCCTGGATGACACGTACACTGCCACGGCTGCAGGCAGGAACCGTGCACGCACCCTGGCATCGTCATGCAGCGCTCGCACAGCTCACCCTCCCAGCCTGGATCACACCTGGAAACAAGCATTAGGTGAACAGGAAATGTCAAAGATATAGAGGGAACAGAGAGGTAGCCAGAAACACAGAGCGACCATGACACTAAAACATTTCACTAAGGCTGAGAAAAACTTTATTATTGTTATCTTGTATACAAAACGCAGCTTTTTTTAACAGTGAATGAAATCCATCCATCCTCTTGTCCAGGGTCGGGTCGCGGGGGTAGCAGCTTCAGTAGGGAGGCCCAGACGTCCCTCTCTCCAGCCTCTTGGTCCAGCTCCTCCGGGGGAATCCCAAGGCGCTGCCAGGCCAGCTGATTAACATAGTCCCTCCAGCGTGTCCTGGGCCTCCTCCCGGTGGGACGTGCCTGGAACACCTCACCAGGGAGGCGTCCAGGAGGCATCCTAACCAGATGCCCGAGCCACCTCAACTGGCTCCTCTCCATGTGGAGGAGCAGCGGCTCTACTCTGAGTCCTCCCCAGATGACTGAGCTCCTCCCCCTCTCTCTAAGGGAGAGCCCAGACACACTACGGAGAAAACTAATTTCAGCCGCTTGGATCCGGGATCTTGTTCTTTCGGTCATGACCCAAAGCTCATGATCATAGATGAGGGGAGGAACGTAGATCGACCGGTAAATCTAGAGCTTTTTCTTTTTGGCCCAGTTCTCGCTGAACCACACACTCACATTCCCTTGCTTGCAGTGAAATGAACATATCCATTTATAAAATGCAGCAGTGATCAAAATGTAAACATGGTGCGAAAGGTTTAGAGAGGTGCAAAAATAAATAAATATGGTGCAAAATGCAGCAGAAACACTGATTTGAGTTCTATTTTAAGGGATTTAAAGATTCACCATATAGTGTAAATACGATGTATCTTGTGATGCAGAGTCTGGATTTCTGACTTGATTACAGTTTCATCAGTTCATCAGTGTGATGGCGGTGGGGAAGAAGCTGCTGCAGAACCTGCTGGTCCTGCATTGAATGCTGTAAAGCCTCTTCCCAGAGGGCAGCAGGGAGAACAGTCCATGGTGGGGGGGTGAGGGGTCATTGATGATGTCACGGGCTCGGGACACGCAGCGCTGGGATGAAATGTCTTTAATGGAGGGAAGAGGAGCCCCCATGATCCTCTCTGCTGTTCTCACCAGTAGTCTACTCTCTGTAGTCCTCTGGTTGTCAGGTGGAATGAACTTAGACTTCAGAGAACTTTTATTGTCATTTTATATACGCAGAGTGTATACACACTGGAAAACTATCTAGAAATAAGTAAAAATATCTTAAATTAAGTGTATTTACCCTTAATTTGAGCAGGTAAATGAGATGATTTGCCAATGGAATGAGCATTATTACTCTTAAAATAAGATATTTAAATAAAACGCACTTGAAATAAGACAATGCAATTGTGTTATGTTATTTTAAATGTAAATTTTCTTGTTTCATTGGCAAAATGTCTCTTTTACTTCCTCAATTCAAGAACAAATATTACTTATCTAGATTTTGATTTTTTCCAGTGTACAACGAAATTTTGTTTAGTGCAGCTTTTAGACAGTAAATAAACATTTCCATTCCACAAAGAGCAGCAGACGGGAGGTTTGAGATGCAGAGACTGAAGATGTTTTCTTGCAGATTTAATACAACTGAAGCAAATATCCAAAACCATAAATCTACTGAGAACCAGGAATACTCAGAAGAGCAAAGAAATGAAGATGAACCAGCAAACAGTGACTGGAGGTGTA